ATTGATTAATATAATTTATGTTGTGTTAACAATATATATAACATTTATAACGCGTTAACAATAATATATTTGATATTGTTAGCACGTTAATACTATATATATGCATGTTATCATAATTTTTGATTAGTGTGCTAATACTTATAACACGTTAACAATAATATCAGATACTTTTGATGTGTTAACAAGAATACATTTGATATTGTTAGCACGTTAAATATATATATATATATATATATATATATTCATGTTATCGTAAATTTTGATTAGCATGCTAATAATAATCGATCTAATAATTGCAATGTGTTATCATTTATCTGATGCATGTAATGTGTTAACATTAATATCGTCTGCATGTTATCGTTTTAATAAAATTATTTGATAATTTTGATGTGTTATTAATATAATATATGAATATTTGACATTATAACTACCATGTTAACACGCTAACTTTGTTATTGCTATCATCCCCTTATTCTATTACACCTTCTTTTCTTACTCCTTCTTTTTTCACTTCTCTTTCCCGACGTGAGACAATTGCAAAAGAGAGAAGAGACAAATGTAATTAAAAAGAATTATAAGAGTATAATAGATTTTTGATGATGAATAGTAAACTATGAATAGTAGATGATGAGAGAGAACTAATTTCAGTGTTATTAGGGTCCATACATTGGTATTATTCTTAATATAAACTCTAATAGATTTATATTAACTTTATCAGGATTTGTTTTCCGGCAATTCAGTCCATAACAAAATAAGTTGCTCATGAGATCTTTAACGATAGACATTCAGAGATATTCACGAGTCAATAATCAAGAAAAATAAAGATTATCACGAAAAATTAGATCTTCAAAATTTAATGTGTATCGTACGTACTCCTTGAGCATGTTTTCCATAATGTTCATATTAACGTATCATGTCTGCAGCTAACTATGATTATCTCAAGTTTGATTATTAATAAAAGAGATTTTTTTTTGCCACGTAAGTTAATCTCTAAAAATACTTTAAAAGAAGAACTTTAGTAACAAGAATAAAAGAGATTTTACTATAGAAGAAAATGTAAATCTTAAATAACTAACATGAAAATAATGAACATATAATTAAAAATTGCATGGTGCTTAGCTTTAGTAACAAGAATAAAAAAAATGGGAACTAATGAAATATAATTACAAGGAAAAAAATCAAAAGATTTTGAAATACAAATGACATTGAAGTAACAAATTTTGTTTGAAAACCTTGATTAGGGAATTTCATTAAACTCCTCTCGTATCCAACATTTTATCAAACATGACACGTTCTTAAACTGATACTGATGCTAATTATATTAGAATTTTAATGAAATTAGAGAAGTACAAACAAATGTGCGTAAAATGAAAAAATATGAGAAGCAAGACAGGCTGGAAGAGGAGTCAAAATGGAAGTCCAGCCTTCACCTTTATCCTTAAGATTACTACTCTCTTCTCTCTCTCTTATCCTTCTATATTTGTTTATCTTTATTCACGCTAGTCCTGGGAATATTATCCGGAACCGAATATCCGAACCGGAACCGATCCGAAAAAACCGGTTCGGATCGGTTCCGGATCCACCAAATATACCCATTGGATCTCAAATTTAGTATCCATGGATATCGGTTCCTATCCGGAACCGAACCGGAACCGAAATGAGGAACCGAATACCCGAAAATATATATGTTTATCTATTAAAATTTTATGATTCAGATATTTTTGATGTTATTTCGGGTGCAAATACCCGAATTTTTTTAAAAATATCCAAAATATTTAGGTACATTTTAAAAATTCGGATAAAATATTGGTATTTCGGGTATAAATATCTATATTTTTTTTAAGAACCGAAATTTTTCGGGTATTTCGGGTAGAAATTTGTTATTTCGAGTATAATTTTACTATTTTTGATACAAATATCCGGAACCATTTAAGAACTAAAATTTTTCGGGTATGTTACGGTTCCTCACCTTTGTATCCGAACTTATCCGGAACCGAACCGGAACCGAACCGAAAATTTTAAAATATTCAGTGGATCTAAATTTCTAGAACCGATCGGTTCCTATCCGGAACCGAACCGAATACCCGAAACCCCATGGCTAATTCACGCAGTTAATTGGCCTATTAGACCATCTCCAATAGTTTAGATCATCTCCAATGATTTACTCTATTTTTAACTCTAAAAATAGAGAAGAGTTTTCTCCAATAGGCAACTCTAACTTTTTACTTTAAAAAAACAATATTCTTTTATCAACTAATTCTAATTAATTATTATTTTCTTATGAGACCTTATACTTTAAAACTATATCAATTTTGTCTATTCATTTTTTTGGACAAAAACTAGATAAACTTTTGATTTTATTAAAATTAAAAAATGCATTACATCAAATAAATAGAATTATGTAATTATTTTTTATGCGGTTTACCAGATTATTAGTTATTGTCATTATATTTTTTTAATTATGTAATTTTATTTTATAATTTGTTATATCAATATAATTTTATATATCATCATTGTTGGTTTGTTTTTAACATCATTGTTATTTATTAGAAAATTAATAAAATATTTTGAAGTATAAACCTAATTGTTATCTTCTTATGTATAAAACTAAAATATATAATTTTGTTTGAGTATAAAATAAAAGTATATCAAAATCAAAGGATGTTTTATAAATAAAAAAGTGTAACTCTAAAAATAGAGAACTCTAAAAGTTACTCCAAATTTAAAATAACTTTTAGAGTTCTCTATTTTTAGAGTTGAATATAGAGTGCTATTGGAGATGGTTTTACTCTAAAAATAGAGTTTGAAGGCAAAAATAGAGTCCCATTGGAGATGCTCTTACTCTATTTTTCACTTTAAAAATAGAGTTCTCTAAAAATAAAGAAGAGTTTTGCTCCAATAGTCAACTCTATTTTTTACATTAAAAAGGAATATTTTTAGTATCTTATATTCTAATTAATTATTATTTTCTTATGAAACCTTATACTTTAAAAATATATCAATTTTGTCCATTTTTTTTAGTGTTATTGGAGATGGTTTTTTGGTGCATCTATCATTTGCTATATCAATATCTTATTTAATTTTAGATATCATCATTGTTGTTTTTTTTTCAACATCATTGTTGTTTATTAGAAAATTAATATAATTTTTTAATTATAAATCTAATTGTTGTATTCTTATGTATAAAACTAAAATCTATAATTTTGTTTGAATATAAAATAGAAGTATATCAAAATCAAATGACTATTTTATAAATAAAATAGTGTAACTCTAAAAATAGGACAAAATTGATACCGAGCACCTGCTCCCGACGACCGAGCATGCACTTCGGACTTTTTCCTTTTCCGTGCATTCGCCACGTGACAAAGCAAGGGCGGTTGGCACCGACTTTGCCCTAGCCGTTTTTCCTATTTTTGGCCGAGTTTTTGTTATAAAGGATTAGCCACCCTTTTATTTTAGGATATCTTTCTCTTTCCTTTTTCTAAGAGAGAGACTTTTGACCTAGGGTTTTTCTAAGCATTACAAGCTTGAGAGGGAGACGAATTTCTGCTATATTTTTTAGAAGAATTCCGAACCCTTGGGATTTATTATTTTATTCTATGAGTTTCTTTTCATCTATGTTTTCTGATTTATTTTCTATGTCTGAGTAGTTCTCTTAACTAGATTAGGGTTTCAAAGGAATTGATGATTTAGAAAATGAATGCAAATAGGGCTTTTTATTATTAGATTGTCTTCACCATTGTTAGACTTAATCCTTAGGTTGAATTGATCACTCAATCTGCGGTTTTAGGTTTATCTATTCATCAAAAGTGTAATAGGTTGCTAGAAAGAACTTTGGTGAGCAAATTAACTAGGCCTGCGAAAGTTGAGTGCTAGGTAATTTGTGAACTTATCAAACCTGATCTTTAATGCTTATCTGCGATTGCTAGGACCAAACGACAGTTTAGGATTCTAGGTTGTTAGATAAAGTTATTGATGCTACGACAGTAGATCAATTTATTATTATGTTTGAGTTCTAGACTTGCTTCAAAATTGTGCCCTAGATAGTTGTTTGGTTGCTATCTCTGACATTCCTGCGAATTGCCCTGGTCTAGTGCTTCGTTTAATTGATTTAAAAACCGCAATTTACTTTACTTCCTGTTACAAAACCAACTCACTTTGTCTTAACTTGAAGTTGAACCAATAAAATCATAGTGTAATACTTGGTCTTCGTGGGAATCGATCCCTAAATACTACTCCGCTTTGCTGTGCACTTGCAGTAGGAAATAGGGTTAAAACTCTGTGTATCAAGTTTTTGGCGCCGTTGCCGGGGACCAAATCTTTACCTTTGGTTTTCGGCGAAATTTCTAGTCTAAAACCTTACTGATTTGTTCTTCTACTTCTCTTCTGCGTGTGTTTCAGGGTGCATGTCCAAGAAGTCTACAAGGAGAAATCACACAGAGGAACTCGTCTCATACTCAAACGCAGAACTCGCAAAAACAGAAAGAACAAACCGCAAAAACACAAGGCTTCAATCCTTCAACATGGGTGACCAGAGAAGCAACGAGGAGATGGCTACTGAAATACAACAACTCCGACAACAGATGGAGCAGCTGCTCAAGGCTCAGCAAGACAGAGCCGCGGAGCCAGTTGAGACCCCCATCGGTGGAAAGGACAATCCGCATGTGTTCTACACTAACCGTACTGCGATTGTTCCTCCTAGAATACAGAGGTAAGACTTCGATATTAAACCGCAGATGATCTCTCTCGTGAAGCAACACCTCTTTCATGGTCTCCCAGCTGAGATTCCGATGGACCACATCGAGAATTTCAAGGAGATATGCAGCACCACCAGCTATAATGGGATACCGCCGGATTTTCTGAAGTGCAAGCTCTTTCCATTCTCTCTTGCGGATAGAGCTTCACGCTGGCTAAAGTCATTGCCACCTGGGTCTTTGACATCATGGGACGAGTGCAGGAATGCGTTTCTGGACCACTTATACACTAAGTCCAAAACCGCAGCTCTACGGAACAAGATCTCGACATTCCAACAGCAAACCGGAGAAGCCTTCTGCAAGGCTTGGGAGAGATACAAAGAGTACCGCAGAGAGTGCCCTCACCATGGTTTCACTGACGAACAGATTCTGAGCATCTTCTACGACGGTGTCAACTGGGACTACATGAATGCTCTCAACTCAGCCAATAATGGAGATTTCATGACCAAATCCAAAGAAGGTGCGTACCAACTGATTGAGAACCTAACTGCAAGCTCCAGCAACAAGGCACCCGAGTATGATAGATCCGCCAAGGTCAACATTGTGGAAGCGCAAAAGATTGACGAGTTGACAGCCAAGGTAAACCTTTTTTTGAAGGGGAGCCAGAAAGCAGTACACTTCGTTGATGAGACTGACGAGATGCCTCTAGCTCAGGAGATTTGTGATGGAGAGGATGATCAGATGGAGGTCAACTACGTTAATGGGCAAGGGTTCGTGCAGAACCGCGGATTCAACCAGAACTACCGCAACCATCCGAACCTGTCCTACAGGAGCACTAACGTGGAGAATCCGCAGGATCAGGTCTACCCGCAGCAAGGAGCTCAGAATCAGATGGGATTTCAGAAGAACTTCTCCAACAATTTCCAGGCAAAACCGTTCATTCCTAACCATAACCGCTTCCAAGGTGGTAACCAGCTGCCTTTCGCCAATGTTCAGAAGAAACCGTCTTTCACCTACATGCAACCGGGTCAGTCTTCAGCCAACAGTTCCCAAGACGAGCTGAAGAACATGATGCAGCAGCTTTTGGTGAACCAACAGAAAGCTTCTACGGAAATCAATTCCAAAGTAGACTCAATGTACAACAACCTCAATGGAAAGTTTGAGGCCGTTTGGACACACATGAAGAAGCTGGATATTCAGATTGCGCAGACTGCTGAAGCCGTGAAGCGACCTCCTAGAACCTTACCAGGAAAGTGAGAGGCGAACCCCAGGAACGAGTATGTGAACGCCATTGAGTTATGGGTGCCCCCAAGAACTGCTCCGCCAACAAGCACGTACAAAAGAAAAGGAATCGCTACCGAGCAAGTGCTCGGTCCTGAAACCTCTGATCCAGGCCAAGACAAAGTTGATCGACGGGAGCACCCTGAGACTTCAACCGAGCACGTGCTCCGACCTTCTGACCAGGCCAGATCGACTGACACACCTCCAGCACGAGTTTACATACCTAGAGTGCCATACCCTGTTCCGCCAAAGAAATCCCAAAAAGACTTGGAGGATGCGAAGTGTCGAGAGATGTTGCGAGACTTGACCCTGAAGATACCCTTAGTTGATGCTGTTCAGATGGTACCTGCTCTGAAACGGTTTATGAAAGGGTTAGTTTCTGGGAGAGTCTCCGAAGAGGAGAATGTCATGATGGTTTCGAGAGAGTGCAGTGCTGTGCTGCAAAACAAGGTGCTGAAAAAGAGAGATGATCCGGGGCGATTTTTCTTGTCCGTGAAAATCGGTAACACGGTTTTCGCGAGGTCCCTCTGCAATCTTGGCTCAAGTGTGAACCTTATGCTATACTCGGTGGCGAAAAGACTGGGGTACACGAAGTTCAAGTCCACTAGAATTTCGTTGGTATTCGCTGATAGGTCAACCAAGTTTCCGATTGGAGTGCTGGAGGATCTACATGTTAAGATCGGCGACACACTTATCCTAGCAGACTTTGTGGTTCTGGAACTTGACGAGGAACCACGCGACCCACTGATTTTGGGTCGGTCCTTCCTGAGCACAGCTGGTGTGATCATTGGCGTACATGAGGGGATAATCGATCTCCAACTGGGAGATATGATTGTGAGGTTCGAGATGGACAAGCTCCTCAAGAAACCGATGATTGATGGTCAGACGTTTGTGATAGATGATGGTTCAGATGTCGCAGATGAGGTAGCTGACAAGCTCTTAGCTCTTGACCCTTTGGAGACAGTCCTGACTAAAGCAGAGGGAGAGTTTGGTTTCTTAAGTGAGGAAGCTGAAGTACTAGCAAGGATGCTGGATGCGAGTGCAGAGTTTCGGAAACTGGTCGCATACGCTAGCCTGGACAATGAGGAAGACTCCGCAGAGAAATCAGCTGAGGGAGCACCTGCTCCAAATCCCGGAGCACCTGCTCCGGCCGAGTCTACCGATGGTCCGTGGAGCGAGCTGCGAGCTCCCAAGATCGAGCTCAAACCACTTCCTGCCGGGCTAAGGTACGCGTTTCTAGGCCCTAACTCGACTTACCCTGTGATCATAAACTCGGAATTGAATAATGTAGAGACTGCCTTGCTCCTTTGTGAACTTAGGAAATATAGAAAGGCTCTAGGTTATTCATTAAACGATTTTCCAGGGATTTCTCCAGATCTTTGCATGCATAGGATCCATCTAGAGGATGAGTCATCGACTTCTATAGAACATCAGAGGAGGTTAAACCCGAATCTAAAAGATGTTGTAAAGAAGGAGATAATGAAACTTCTAGATGCAGACATGATTTATGCTATATCGGATAGTTGATGGGTCAGTCCAGTTCATGTAGTTCCTAAGAAAGGTGGTATTACTGTGGTTAAGAATGATAGGAACGAATTTATACCCACTAGGACAGTCACAGGACATCGGATGTGTATAGATTTCAGGAAGCTTAATGCTGCGACCCGGAAAGACCATTTTCCCTTGCCTTTTATTGATCAGATGCTTGAGAGATTGGCTAACCATCCCTACTATTGTTTCTTAGATGGTTATTCAGGGTTCTTCCAGATCCCGATCCACCCAGAGGACCAGGAGAAGACAACATTCACTTGTCCTTACGTCACTTTTGCATACCGCAGAATGCCGTTTGGCTTGTGCAATGCCCCTACGACCTTCCAGCGCTGCATGATGTCTATTTTCACTGACCTGATTGAGGACATAATGGAAGTTTTCATGGACGATTTTTCTGTCTATGGGAGCTCTTTTTCTGTCTGTTTGTCTAACTTGTGCAGGGTGTTGCAGCGGTGCGAGGAAAAACACTTTGTGCTGAACTGGGAGAAGTGCCACTTCATGGTCCGAGATGGGATCGTACTTGGGCACAGAATCTCGGAGAAAGGGATCGAGGTTGACAAAGCAAAGGTCGAGGTGATGATGAGTCTCCAGCCGCCCGATTCAGTCAAGGGAATCCGCAGTTTCCTTGGTCATGCCGGTTTCTATAGGCGCTTCATCAAGGACTTCTCCAAAATCGCCAGACCTCTTACACGGCTGCTGTGCAAGGAGGTGAAGTTCGAGTTTGACAGTGCATGCTTGGAAGCTTTCCATACGATCAAAGGAGCATTGGTCAGCGCCCCGATTGTGTAACCACCGGATTGGGATCTCCCCTTTGAGGTCATGACAGATGCGAGTGATTACGCCGTGGGAGCAGTTCTGGGACAAAGAAAAGATAAGAAGCTGCACGTGATCTATTATGTTAACCGCACTCTGGATGAAGCTCAGTGCAAATACGCTACAACCAAAAAGGAGCTCTTGGCGGTTGTGTTTGCTTTTGAGAAGTTCAGATCCTATCTTGTTGGTTCCAAGGTTATTGTTCACACCGATCATACAGCCTTGCGGTACCTGCTCACCAAGAAGGATGCCAAGCCGCGGCTACTCAGGTGGATTCTCTTGCTTCAGAAGTTCGATTTGGAGATCAAAGACAAAAAGGGAATCGAAAATGGAGTTGCAGATCACCTGTCACGGATGAAGATCGACGAAGAGGTCCCCTTGGATGACAGTCTCCCTGAGGAGCAAGTTTACTCCATTGGCATCTTTGAGTCCGGCGAGCACCTGCTCCAACCCGGAGCACCTGCTCCGACCACCCATTGCAGTGTGATCGATAGAAGCACACAGCCGAGTTTCACTTGGTTTGGAGAGTTCGCAAACTACCTTGCAGGAGATAAGGAGCCAGTTGGATTCGTGGGAAACAAGAAGAAGAAATTCCTCAAGGACATCCGACACTACTTCTGGGACGAGCCGTACCTGTATAGGCATTGCTCGGATGGCGTTTACAGGAGATGTGTAGCTGATGAGGAGATTCCTGGAGTCTTGTTTCACTGCCATAGCTCGCCATACGCTGGACACTTCGCCACCTTCAAAACCGTGTCCAAAGCTCTTCAAGTCGGGTATTGGTGGCCAACAATGTTCCGAGATGCACAGAGATTCATATCCAGTTGTGACACATGCCAGAGACAGGGCAACATCAGTAGGAGGAACGAGATGCCTCAGAACTTCATCCTGGAAGTGGAGGTGTTTGATGTGTGGGGAATTGACTTCATGTGACCCTTCCCTAATTCGTTTAGCAACGAGTACATTCTGGTAGCAGTTGATTATGTGTCTAAGTGGGTCGAAGCTTTCGCCAGTCCTTCTAATGACGCAAAAACCATGATCAAGATGTTCAAGTCTGTCATATTTCCGAGGTTCGGTGTTCCGTGAGTGGTCATCAGCGATGGTGGCTCCCACTTCGTCAACAAGATCTTTGACAGCCTGCTGAGAAAGAACGGCGTAAGGCACAAGGTCACAACTCCGTACCATCCCCAGACTAGTGGTCAGGTCGAGATTTCCAACAAGGAGATCAAGAGCATCCTGTAGAAAACCGTGAATGCCACAAGGAAGGATTGGTCTGAGAAGCTGGATGAGGCTCTATGGGCGTATCGAACTGTATACAAGACACCTCTCGGGACAACACCATTCCATTTGGTGTATGGTAAAGCATGCTATCTCCCTGTCGAACTAGAGTACAAAGCTGCATGGGCAGTTAAGTTGATGAACTTTGACACCAAGAGTGCTCATGAAAGGAGGAAGATGCAGTTGCATGAATTGGAGGAGATTAGGCATCTGGCCTATGACAACTCGAGGATATATAAGGAACGAACCAAGGCCTACCACGACAAGAGGATTCTCACACGGACCTTCGCTCTAGATGATCAGGTCTTATTGTACAACTCTCGATTGAAACTGTTTCCCGGGAAGCTAAGATCGAGATGGTCCGGACCCTTCACCATCAAAGAGGTCCAACCATATAGAGCTGTAGTGTTGTTGGACACTAAGGGAGGAGAGTTCGTGGTCAATGGACAGAGGCTCAAGCCGTATCTCGCCGGTTCTGACATCGCAGGAGGTGAAACCTTCACCTTAGGCGATCCTCCTCAAGCCTAAATGGCTACCAAGTCAAGCTCTTTCCATTTTCTCTTGCGGATAGAGCTTCACGCTGGCTAAAGTCATTGCCACCTGGGTCTTTGACATCATGGGACGAGTGCAGGAATGCGTTTCTGGACCACTTATACACTAAGTCCAAAACCGCAGCTCTACGGAACAAGATCTCGACATTCTAACAGCAAACCGGAGAAGCCTTCTGCGAGGCTTGGGAGAGATACAAAGAGTACCGCAGAGAGTGCCCTCACCATGGTTTCACTGACGAACAGATTCTGAGCATCTTCTATGACGGTGTCAACTGGGACTACAGGAATGCTCTCAACTCAGCCAATAATGGAGATTTCATGACCAAATCCAAAGAAGGTGCGTACCAACTGATTGAGAACCTAACTGCAAGCTCCAGCAACAAGGCACCCGAGTATGATAGATCCGCCAAGGTCAACATTGTGGAAGCGCAAAAGATTGACGAGTTGACAGCCAAGGTAAACCTTTTTCTGAAGGGGAGCCAGAAAGCAGTACACTTCGTTGATGAGACTGACGAGATGCCTCTAGCTTAGGAGATTTGTGATGGAGAGGATGATCAGATGGAGGTCAACTACGTTAATGGGCAAGGGTTCGTGCAGAACCGCGGATTCAACCAGAACTACCGCAACCATCCGAACCTGTCCTACAGGAGCACTAACGTGGAGAATCCGCAGGATCAGGTCTACCCGCAGCAAGGAGCTCAGAATTAGATGGGATTTCAGAAGAACTTCTCCAACAAATTCCAGGCAAAACCGTTCATTCCTAACCATAACCGCTTCCAAGGTGGTAACCAGCAGCCTTTCGCCAATGTTCAGAAGAAACCGTCTTTCACCAACATGCAACCGGGTCAGTCTTCAGCCAACAGTTCTCAAGACGAGCTGAAGAACATGATGCAGCAGCTTTTGGTGAACCAACAGAAAGCTTCTACGGAAATCAATTCCAAAGTAGACTCAATGTACAACAACCTCAATGGAAAGTTTGAGGCCGTTTGGACACACATGAAGAAGCTGGATATTCAGATTGCGCAGACTGCTGAAGCCGTGAAGCGACCTCCTAGAACCTTACCAGGAAAGTGAGAGGCGAACCCCAGGAACGAGTATGTGAACGCCATTGAGTTATGGGTGCCCCCAAGAACTGCTCCGCCAACAAGCACGTACAAAAGAAAAGGAATCGCTACCGAGCAAGTGCTCGGTCCTGAAACCTCTGATCCAGGCCAAGACAAAGTTGATCGACGGGAGCACCCTGAGACTTCAACCGAGCACGTGCTCCGACCTTCTGACCAGGCCAGATCGACTGACACACCTCCAGCACGAGTTTACATGCCTAGAGTGCCATACCCTGTTCCGCCAAAGAAATCCCAAAAAGACTTGGAGGATGCGAAGTGTCGAGAGATGTTGCGAGACTTGACCCTGAAGATACCCTTAGTTGATGCTGTTCAGATGGTACCTGCTCTGAAACGGTTTATGAAAGGGTTAGTTTCTGGGAGAGTCTCCGAAGAGGAGAATGTCATGATGGTTTCGAGAGAGTGCAGTGCTGTGCTGCAAAACAAGGTGCTGAAAAAGAGAGATGATCCGGGGCGATTTTTCTTGTCCGTGAAAATCGGTAACACGGTTTTCGCGAGGTCCCTCTGCAATCTTGGCTCAAGTGTGAACCTTATGCTATACTCGGTGGCGAAAAGACTGGGGTACACGAAGTTCAAGTCCACTAGAATTTCGTTGGTATTCGCTGATAGGTCAACCAAGTTTCCGATTGGAGTGCTGGAGGATCTACATGTTAAGATCGGCGACACACTTATCCTAGCAGACTTTGTGGTTCTGGAACTTGACGAGGAACCACGCGACCCACTGATTTTGGGTCGGTCCTTCCTGAGCACAGCTGGTGCGATCATTGACGTACATGAGGGGATAATCGATCTCCAACTGGGAGATATGATTGTGAGGTTTGAGATGGACAAGCTCCTCAAGAAACCGATGATTGATGGTCAGACGTTTGTGATAGATGATGGTTCAGATGTCGCAGATGAGGTAGCTGACAAGCTCTTAGCTCTTGACCCTTTGGAGACAGTCCTGACTAAAGCAGAGGGAGAGTTTGGTTTCTTAAGTGAGGAAGCTGAAGTACTAGCAAGGATGCTGGATGCGAGTGCAGAGTTTCGGAAACTGGTCGCATACGCTAGCCTGGACAATGAGGAAGACTCCGCAGAGAAATCAGCTGAGGGAGCACCTGCTCCAAATCCCGGAGCACCTGCTCCGGCCGAGTCTACCGATGGTCCGTGGAGCGAGCTGCGAGCTCCCAAGATCGAGCTCAAACCACTTCCTGCCGGGCTAAGGTACGCGTTTCTAGGCCCTAACTCGACTTACCCTGTGATCATAAACTCGGAATTGAATAATGTAGAGACTGCCTTGCTCCTTTGTGAACTTAGGAAATATAGAAAGGCTCTAGGTTATTCATTAGACGATTTTCCAGGGATTTCTCCAGATCTTTGCATGCATAGGATCCATCTAGAGGATGAGTCATCGACTTCTATAGAACATCAGAGGAGGTTAAACCCGAATCTAAAAGATGTTGTAAAGAAGGAGATAATGAAACTTCTAGATGCAGGCGTGATTTATGCTATATCGGATAGTTCATGGGTCAGTCTAGTTCATGTAGTTCCTAAGAAAGGTGGTATTACTGTGGTTAAGAATGATAGGAACGAATTTATACCCACTAGGACAGTCACAGGACATCGGATGTGTATAGATTTCAGGAAGCTTAATGCTGCGACCCGGAAAGACCATTTTCCCTTGCCTTTTATTGATCAGATGCTTGAGATATTGGCTAACCATCCCTACTATTGTTTCTTAGATGGTTATTCAGGGTTCTTCCAGATCCCGATCCACCTAGAGGACCAGGAGAAGACGACATTCACTTGTCCTTACGGCACTTTTGCATACCGCAGAATGCCGTTTGGCTTGTGCAATGCCCCTGCGACCTTCCAGCGCTGCATGATGTCTATTTTCACTGACCTGATAGAGGACATAATGGAAGTTTTCATGGACGATTTTTCTGTCTATGGGAGCTCCTTTTCTGTCTGTTTGTCTAACTTGTGCAGGGTATTGCAGCGGTGCGAGGAAAAACACTTTGTGCTGAACTGGGAGAAGTGCCACTTCATGGTCCGAGATGGGATCGTACTTGGGCACAGAATCTCGGAGAAAGGGATCGAGGTTGACAAAGCAAAGGTCGAGGTGATGATGAGTCTCCAGCCGCCCGATTCAGTCAAGGGAATCCGCAGTTTCCTTGGTCATGCCGGTTTCTATAGGCGCTTCATCAAGGACTGCTCCAAAATCGCCAGACCTCTTACACGGCTGCTGTGCAAGGAGGTGAAGTTCGAGTTTGACAGTGCATGCTTGGAAGCTTTCCATACGATCAAAGGAGCATTGGTCAGCGCCCCGATTGTGTAACCACCGGATTGGGATCTCCCCTTTGAGGTCATGACAGATGCGAGTGATTACGCCGTGGGAGCAGTTCTGGGACAAAGAAAAGATAAGAAGCTGCACGTGATCTATTATGTTAACCGCACTCTGGATGAAGCTCAGTGCAAATACGCTACAACCAAAAAGGAGCTCTTGGCGGTTGTGTTTGCTTTTGAGAAGTTCAGATCCTATCTTGTTGGTTCCAAGGTTATTGTTCACACCGATTATACAGCCTTGCGGTACCTGCTCACCAAGAAGGATGCCAAGCCGCGGCTACTCATGTGGATTCTCTTGCTCAGGAGTTCGATTTGGAGATCAAGGACAAAAAGGGAATCGAAATTGGAGTTGCAGATCACCTGTCACGGATGAAGATCGACGAAGAGGTCCCCTTGGATGACAGTCTCCCTGAGGAGCAAGTTTACTCCATTGGCATCTTTGAGTCCGGCGAGCACCTATTCCAACCCAGAGCACCTGCTCCGACCACCCATTGCAGTGTGATCGATAGAAGCACACAGCCGAGTTTCACTTGGTTTGGAGAGTTCGCAAACTACCTTGCAGCAGATAAGGAGCCAGTTGGATTCGTGGGAAACAAGAAGAAGAAATTCCTCAAGGACATCCGACACTACTTCTGGGACGAGCCATACCTGTATAGGCATTGCTCGGATGGCGTTTACAGGAGATGTGTAGCTGATGAGGAGATTCCTGGAGTCTTGTTTCACTGCCATAGCTCGCCATACGCTGGACACTTCGCCACCTTCAAAACCGTGTCCAAAGCTCTTCAAGTCGGGTATTGGTGGCCAACAATGTTCCGAGATGCACAGAGATTCATATCCAGTTGTGACACATGCCAGAGACAGGGCAACATCAGTAGGAGGAATGAGATGCCTCAGAACTTCATCCTGGAAGTGGAGGTGTTTGATGTGTGGGGAATTGACTTCATGTGACCCTTCCCTAATTCGTTTGGCAACGAGTACATTCTAGTAGCAGTTGATTATGTGTCTAAGTGGGTCGAAGCTTTCGCCAGTCCTTCTAATGACGCAAAAACCGTGATCAAGATGTTCAAGTCTGTCATATTTCCGAGGTTCGGTGTTCCGCGAGTGGTCATCAGCGATGGTGGCTCCCACTTCGTCAACAAGATCTTTGACAACCTGCTGAGAAAGAACGGCGTAAGGCACAAGGTCACAACTCCGTACCATCCCCAGACTAGTGGTCAGGTCGAGATTTCCAACAGGGAGATCAAGAGCATCTTGTAGAAAACCGTGAATGCCACAAGGAAGGATTGGTCTGAGAAGCTGGATGAGGCTCTATGGGCGTATCGAACTGTATACAAGACACCTCTTGGGACAACACCATTCCATTTGGTGTATGGTAAAGCATGCTATCTCCCTGTCGAACTAGAGTACAAAGCTGCCTGGGCAGTTAAGTTGATGAACTTTGACACCAAGAGTGCTCATGAAAGGAGGAAGATGCAGTTGCATGAATTGGAGGAGATTAGGCATCTGGCCTATGACAACTCGAGGATATATAAGGAACGAACCAAGGCCTACCACGACAAGAGGATTCTCACACGGACCTTCGCTCCAGATGATCAGGTCTTATTGTACAACTCTCGATTGAAACTGTTTCCCGGGAAGCTAAGATCGAGATGGTCCGGACCCTTCACCATCAAAGAGGTCCAACCATATAGAGCTGTAGTGTTGCTGGACACTAAGGGAGGAGAGTTCGTGGTCAATGGACAGAGGCTCAAGCCGTATCTCGCCGGTTCTGACATCGCAGGAGGTGAAACCTTCACCTTAGGCGATCCTCCTCAAGCCTAAATGGCTACCAAGTCAATCTAGTGACTTTAGCCAAGTGCTGGGTGGGAGGCAACCCACCAAGTACATATTCTCGCCTTTTATCTTATTTTAGCAACTAATTTTTGGTTTTGGTTTACTTTGTTAAAAAAAAAAAAAAAAAAATGGAAGGACATGTTTCCACCGTGAAAGGAGTCCAAGAGAAAGATTTTCGGAGAAAGGAAACAGAGCACCTGCTCTGATTTGGAGCACATACTCGCTCGGGTGCTCTGTGTGAGTTGTGGGCCCAGGTAAATCTTCTGATTTCGAAAAAAAAGGAAAAAAGTGGGTCCGGATTTTTTAAAACCGAACTACCTTACCCGGCCAACTAGTTTTTAATAAAAAAGACCCAACTCCTTTTTCCTTCTCTCCCTCACTTCTTCTCTTTCGATCTTCCTCTTCCCCATCGTCACCACCATCGCTTTTTCCCAAAATCTCAAGGTTTTCAAAACTTCACCAAATTTCACGCTTTTTGGGTCGATTCCACTCGATTTTTCCCCCTCTTTCCGAATATCCAATCGCTTTTTCCAACCAACCACGGTAAGCACTCGAAATCTCACTTTTTGATTCCGCCATGGATGAGAAAAGTTGAGATTTCAAGCTCCCTTCTTCGATTTTCTTGCATCCGGCTCATATTCATCACTATTTGTATGCATGCATTCGATTTTGGTTGGAATTTATGCTTGATTTGCACATGCATATTTTTGAGAAACCTTGGATTCCACCATTAATGGCGGTTTGTGCATGCTTAATAGATTAAGGTAAATTTCGAGTATTTTGTGGATGATTGATGTTGGTTGTTGTGGATTTGTGTTGATGGAGCTGTGATTAAGAGTTTTTGGAGTGATCATGAGTGCAATCGATTTTTGCATACCATTGATCACCTCGATTTTTCATGATTTCTTATTCTCTTCGGTTTTCGATTGTGTTTACAGGTACCCATGGCTCCTAAGCACTCCTCTAGTCGCAAAGGCAAAGCGCATGCAGCACCTCAACCACCACCACCTCCGCCACCTCCGTTCCCAAACAAGCTCCTCCACCCGTGGCCTCGCAAAGAGAGCGAGCCGTTCGATCTCTTAGACGACTCTCTCCCCACCGAGTCCGTCGATCACTGGGACCTCCGAGACGCGCGCGCCTATAATAAGCTGCTGGGTCTCAAGTTCGAGCCTACTTGCTTGATGTGCACTACATCTCTCAAGCAGCTCGGGCTGTACGAGCAGGTGACTCCGGTGCTGCTGCATGTTCGCGTGCTTACCTTCACCTTCGCTGATGAGCCTCTCTACCCCGACTTGGTGCGTCAGCTCCTCGTTTCTGCCCGCATCACTCACGCGGACCCCGCCAACAAGACTGTGGCTGGCGTGGCTTTTACCTTCAAGGCTAGTGGTCGCCTTTACACCTTCCCAATGGAGGACTTCTCTGCGACTCTCGGTTTCCTTACCGAGCCTGACGAGCTGACTCCTCTGCCTAAGTTCCACCAGGCTGCCGCTTTCTGGAGCATGATCGCCACAGGACCATACCGGTCCAACTCTGCCAGTCAGGCCCTCCGTCTCGCATCGCGCATCCTCAGCAACATGCTCTTTGACCGAGACTCCGGCAACAAGCTCCACCGCGACGAGTTGCTACTGCTCTACTTGGGTTGCAATGGTGCCACCGGAGCACCTGCTCTGTTCTCTGGAGCACCTGCTCCCTCCACCATGCACGGCCACCTGGGTCTGCATTTTGCTGAGCTGATCTGTGGTATCCGGGATAAGTCCGGGGGATGTACCGAGCGTATAGGCAGCCTTCTCACCCCACTTTTTGAGTCGGCTGGCCTTGAGATGAAGTTTGATGAGTGTATTGAGGCCAAGGAGTATCTCGATCTCAAGCATCTCAACAACTCCAAGATCATCTTCGCGTCCACAGCAGAGAGTTGTTTCTACCGGTATCTTAGTGCCGATGGCATGGAGCAGTGCCTCACCCTTCTATCACCGGAGCAGACGCAGCTGGCGTCCATTGAGGACCTCTGTTTCGTACACACTGCTCTACTCTTAGAGGGTCCTCCTCCTGTCGCTCTCCGCTCTGTTCCTGCTGCGGATTTCGCCAGCTCCTCTCACCACCACCAGGAGGACATTCCGATGCCCGACTCCACCAGTGTCCCACCTTTCACCACTACCGCCACTGATGGCGAGTTTGCTCTTCCTCCAATCTCTGACGAGCCTGACACTGTCGAGTACCGGCGTTGGATGATTGAGTCCCAGAGGAAGAACAACAGCCTCATGCAGAGGATCATGCAGATACTATCCCGAGGGTGCTGTCACACTACCGCAGTGAGGGCGAGCCCATCCGCGAGACAGCCACGACGCAGACGCCGCATTGATCGTTCGGAGAGTGAGAGCTCGGACGACCACACCACTCGCTGATTCACGGTTATACCTTCCTTCACCACCATTGTATTATCTGTTTTCTGTTTTGTTATTTGGGTTCTCTCTTTGGTTTGCTTTCACACCAGGGACGGTGTGAAGTAAGTCCGGGGGAGGGACATGTTTTGCATTTGTTTCTTTTGAGTCAGTTTTTTGTGTTTTCTCTTGAGTCAGTTTGTTTATCGAGTCAGTTTGTCATGTGAGTCAAATCAAAACTTGTGGGAATTAAGACCAGAATCTATGATGAGTTTTTAATCATTTGTGTATTTGATCATCTTTTCCTAGTGACCATTGTTGCAGAACTAAGAGTACAGAGACGAGCTGATGCTTCTTCACATTCGGATCTTTCTCCTGACCAGAAAATTTTCATCTCAATCAGGTTTCACCGGAAATACATAGACTCAACTTTATTGGAACCTAACCGGATTTAAATTCTTCTCGTTTTGGGCATTAGGATAGGGAACGAGTTACATTACATATTCAGGAATTCTTATACCTTTTGCCACTCTTGCTGATCCTGAATAGCTAGCTCATTTTTAGCTAGTACCCCACCTAAGCCTAACCGTCTTTCAAGCCACATGCACTTGTGTTTTTCATCTCTTATATGTGCAGATATGTGCAAAACGGTCGGGGAGAACAGGATTGACGCAACCTCTAACTCACTCTTGCTGGAGATTCGTGAGTTACAAAGAAGGACAGACCGAGCACGTGCTCCCATTAGCCGAGCACCTGCTCCACGGAGACATTCATACCGATTTGAGTCCTTGGGTTGTGTTGAGTAAGGAGATCATAAAATGCGGTCCGCATGCTCGAGAGGCATACATGAAAGACGATCCTCCATCATCCTATCATCTTTTTCAAAAAAAAAAAGAAAAAAAAAATCAATGTTCAAGGGATGATGGAAAAGGAGCTGAGCTAATATTTGATTGCCAAGCATGCGTTGAAACCCAGAAGAAGAAGATAAGCCGAATTTGAGAAGCTGAAGTTTCAAAAAGAGGAGAGTGATTAGAGGTTGTGGATCATCAATGAGTCCATTCTCCCTTGCCATTTTGTGCGATATGCTGCATCTCTTTCGAAATCATGGTAACCTCTGAAACACTCTATAGCTCCACCTTTAAAACAGCCTTTTCTTTACCAAGCCTCGATTTATCTAGCCTAGTGCCCTTAATGAGAAGCTCACGCCAACCTTAAATGAACTTAGAGAGTCTATTGTCTGGAAAGTGAACCTCTTTAGGTTTGAAAGCCAAGTACGGTTTAGGGTTGGAGATGTTTGCTGAGGAGGTTTTTGGTAAGAATCGGTATCTCTTGTTCTAACACATGTGGTTCGCAGGTCATGGTCCATACACGGTTTCTGAGATTTTGCGAGTTCCCACCTTCATCTTCTTTGCGTCTTGATTTGAGTTTGTTTGAGGACAAACAAAGATCCAAGTCCGGGGGAGTTGATATGTTGCGATTTTGACTCATTTTGACCCTTGTTATTTGATAGTTTTCGAGTCTTTTGAGTCCTTTTCGGGTCATAACAGGAAGCTAGGAGGCTAAAAGCAGGAATTGGAACATCAAGAAACCTTCACAGCAAAAAGGAGTGGAATCGAAGCAGAAACCTGAGTTTTGACACCGAGCACCCGCTCCCGACTTCCGAGCATGCGCTTCGGACTTTTTCCTTTTCCGTGCATCCGCCACGTGGCAAAGCAAGGGCGGTTGGCACCGACTTTGCCTTAGCCGTTTTTCCTATTTTTGGCCGAGTTGTTGTTATAAAGGATTAGCCACCCTTTTATTTTAGGATATATTTATCTTTCCTTTTTCTAAGAGAGAGACTTTTGACCTAGGGTTTTTCTAAGCATTGCAAGCTTGAGAGGGAGACGAATTTCTGCTACATTCCTGAGAAGAATTCCGAACCCTTGTGATTTATTATTTTATTCTATGAGTTTCTTTTCATCTATGTTTTCTGATTTGTTATCTATGTCTGAGTAGTTCTCTTAACTATATTAGGGTTTCAAAGGAATTGATGATTTGGCAACTGAATGCAAATAGGACTTTTTATTATTAGATTGTCTTCACCATTGTTAGACTTAATGCTTAGGTTGAATTGATCACTCAATCTGCGATTTTAGGTTTATCTATTCATCAAAAGTGTAATAGGTTGCTAGAAAGAACTTTGGTGAGCAAATTAACTAGGCCTGCGAAAGTTGAGTGCTAGGTAATTTGTGAACTTATCAAACCTGATCTTTAATGCTTATCTGCGATTGCTAGGACCAAACGACAGTTTATGATTCTAGGTTGTTAGATAAAGTTATTGATGCTACGACAGTAGATCAGTTTATTATCATGTTTGAGTTCTAGACTTGCTTCAAAATCGTGTCTTGAATAGTTGTTTGGTTGTTATCTCTGACATTCCTGCGAATTGCCCTGGTCTAGTGCTTCGTTTAATTGATTTACAAACCGCAATTTACTTTACTGCATGTTACAAAACCAACTCACTTTGTCTTAGCTTGAAGTTAAACCAATAAAATCATAGTGTAATACTTGGTCTTCGTGGGATTCGACCCCTAAATACTACTCCGCTTTGCTGTGCACTTGCAGTAGGAAATATGGTTAAAACTCTGTGTATCACTCTCCCATTTTCATCCGAGTGGAGGTTTATGATATGTTTATTTCATTTATATTCTATATAATACATAATTTTAGAATACCTTTTATTTTCCACCATTCATCCAATTTCAATCCGCAAACCTCTGGTTTCTCTTTGGTTCTTACACTTATGGTGGCTGCTTCTTCTAACTTTGTAAGTATAACATCGTGTTTTAATTCTTTCAGTTATGTTGAATTGTTTTGTTTTTGTATGTTATTGATGACAATGATTGAATAAAGTTGTATTTTTTTCCTCCCAGGGTCTACCGAATATTAGTACATCCTGAAGCTTTTTTTTTTAGTTGAAACAATGTGTTTGGTATCTTGCGTTCGAAATAGAAATAGACAGTGAGATCAAGCATTCTTGCTTCTCTTGCTAGCGTTTCTACATGTGTTGGTAAGTCTTCAAATATAATTGAAAGTATATCGTTTATGCTTTGCTAGCTTTAGTAAGTCCAGCATATAAATTGCCAACGGGTGTGTAACCATACTTGATGTTTAGACAATCACATGATTTGTGTGAATTGCCGTTAATCATGTATGTATGTACTCTGTATTTGACTCTCCATGCATTATTCTATATAAAACATGATAAACATATATAATATACGCAACAAAATCGAAATATTGTGTTGCTAATTTATGTAGATATATCTTTAAGAAAACAGTTTGTAGCTATAATTACATTACATATACCTTTTGGTCAAGAAAAACATCACCATACCACAGAGACACAAACAAAAACTATTCTGAAATAAAATCCGCGCGTACGCGCTGATATTCCCCTATTAACTAATAACTTGAAACTATTGATACTGTATTTAATACAGGTAAATCAGCCTTAGTTTTGGCTTGGTTACATATACTTCGGTTCGATTCGTTTCATTTGCATTATTTCATAATTTATATTTCATTCGCATCATTACTCTCTCTCCAGTCTCCACCAACAATATTCCTCTTCACATTGCCTTTTACAACTTAGAACATGAAAAAACAAAAGTTTCAATATTGCTATTAATATATTTTACATCTTTATATATAAAGTAGAAGTGA